GAAACAGGATATGCTATTAAACACGGGGGGACCTCCCGAGCTTTCTATTCCTATTCCATAATAAGCCCTACCTACTAGTATAGTACTAGGATCAGGGTTCGTGTTCATGTTCAAGAATGGGCTGCTAAAGCCTTTTATTTGCCTTTCATGACGATGAATGAATAGTCTTCTCCCTCTGATCATGATCATGGCTTGCTTACCGGGAGTTCACTTTTCCCTTGGATGGAAGTAGCCTCGTCTCGTGGTGCCGGTCTAGAAGCTAGCTTTTGTCTTGTAAGCACCCATGCCGAAGAATAATATAATAGAATTTTGCTTACCAAAGCAAAGTGGTCTTACTAAAAAAAAGTCAATAAGCAACCAGTTCCGTTCCAAGTGACATGGCTTTTCACTATTCCTTATTCCTTTCCAGAGAAGGTTGCTCATCCAGCCCAGCGGATCCATTGTTTATGCGGCAGTGCGATGCAGCTGAAAAACGGAAGCCCTTAGGTATAGGTATAGGTTGGGGAAAACTCCAAACAAAACAAAAAAGGGCCTTATTCTTCCTTATATTAAATATAAGTTTTAGAAAGGGGCACCCCTACCCCCTAAATTACAAGCTAGCGCGCAACGGCTGAAAAGCCGTTGTTGCTTGCTGCTTTTTTTTTGTAGGCTCGAAAATCTCTCTTTCGCCTCTCCTCCCTGTCTCCATTCTGGTTGATTCGCTTCTTCCTTCGCGCAAGCGCTTGGTTCGCCCCTTTTGTGTGTGTTGCATTTTTTTGTGATCCTCCGCTTCAGTTTGCGTTTTTCGGATAGCCGGGATCCGACGTTGATTTCCTATTTTTTTATTTATTTAAATGTCAGCTCCATGTTTTGGGCGGCCCATCTGGTTAGTTCAGCTATCACTGCTGGAAGCCCCTGCGGTTGTTCGGCTGCGTACTCCCCGTTCGCGTATCTCACACTCCCCATCTTTTTTTTTTCTTTTTTCTTTCTACCCATAGCATAGGTCGGCTTCGTGCAGATAGATGTTTGCCGGGGGAGATTGGTGCTCCTGAGGTATGCCCTTCCGGTGGGTTGTTATATTTATTCTCTGTCTATTCCATCCAGTGCCCGCACTGCGTCAGAAAATCTTCGTCTTCGATCTCTCTTCGCAACGCAATAAAGAAGTCTAACAGTCTCTCTCGGCATCTGTCTTTTAAGTCATTGATCTCATATCTATAAGCAGGGGGGTCTGCGTTCACTATTAAGCCTACGCCCGTCCATTCCTTTCAAGCTTGATCCCGCCCTTAGACTCGTTACGCTGTTCGCCCACTTACTTAAAGACTCGTTGGCTCCGCGCTCTATTCGGTCGGAACCCGGTTTGAGAACCTTCTCTCATAGATTCCTTTCACCAAGTCATCGCCAGCAATCAGCTCTTATCCCTTGGTGTGGTGTCAAAGGGCGAGTTCCTTTCTTGTCTTGCCCAAAAACTTGCTTGATTCTCATTGGAGAAAGACTCTCCCGCGGCAAGGTTTTACACATAGGGCCAGCTGCTTTCTTTATCTCGCTTGCCGTTAGTCCGTCTAGCGCCTTTCTTTCGGTTGGGGTCCGTCCCGGGGCTTAGACCGCTTGGGTTCTTTTTTTCTCGAAGGCAGTCAACGTGTCAGCCATTCCTCTCCCATTAGACTTGTAAATCCTTTGCTCTTTTTCCTTCTCTCTTCCAGTTCTCTCCCTCTCATTTTTTTGACAGGGGCGGAGAAAACCACTCTATCAATAACAAGAATACAGTAGCAATTCAGTTTCAAATGGTTTGAGCTTGGAAGCAACCTACTATCTATCGATAGGCTAAAACAGACTGCTGCTGCTTTGCCTATCTATTCTATTATGGCCGGCTTGGAGACATAAGAGGACGTCATTTCTATCCGGGTACGATCATAGCTTCATTCATTCGTTGAACCTTGGGGATAACCATTAGCATTGAGGTCAATCACCACACCACCTCTATCATACGACATTACATGACGCGAGAGTGCATGGTCAACACACACCTACCTAAAGCGCCTACGTTCCGTTTGCAGCCAATACAAGCACAACCTAACTTGCACGAGATTCAACAACCGAAACTACTGGTAGTCCCGAGGGGACGGCATCCTCCAAAAATCAATAGTTAGCAGTACTGAACAAGCGAGTCATCGGTCGGGGGAAAGAAAAGGACCGCCTTTCAAATAAAAAGAAAAAAAAAAGTAAAGATATCTCCATCTGGTGGGAGTAGCTATCCATATAGTTCCATGGCAGTTCTACTTGCAGCCATTGAGAGTTCTCTTGCATCCGCTTTCAATCCAGCAGAGTAAGGGGCAAAAGTATCAACTCATAGATCGTCACTACAAGATACAGTCTATTTGGTCTTTTGATGAACCAAAGGAACGTAGGGAGTGGGAGTTAGTTTAATCTAACCAGTCAATTGCTCTGGCGAGACTCTGCTCTTTCTCTTGCTTTCTGTCTCATGCTTGGTGTGGTGATGGAGTGGGAAAAGCATTGTCCCTCTGATGAGCGGAGAGACTCGTACTATCTAAAAGGAAAGGGTCATGTCTTCCATCGTGCGTGATAACAACACCCTTCTTTCTAGATCCTGCCCTAAGGCGGACACTTCTGACCCTTAAGATATAGAATAACGGGAATCAGGCATCGGAAAAAGGAAGCTATTTGGCAATATAGGGAACCAATCCGGACTTTGAAACCTAGTTTTTGTTATCAAACCAGAGATAGAGGGTCAGGTAAGCATCCTTGTCTAGCCTAAGCCTAACCTAAGGGCGGGCTACGGATTCTTAGAGAGAAGATAGCTACTCTTATAAGAACTACCATGTAACATTCTTCTTTAACCAACCCATTGGCATCGGCATTTCAAGATGCTTTGTCGCTTAGTCGAATGACGTAGATAAGGATTCAATCCTATCTCTCATTCTTGCAATTCATCTTCGATTAGTCTATTCATTGGATTGGGAAGATTCCCTACCCGTGACCCTCGCCCCAAGGGGCATTCAAAAGAAGACAGATCGGAAAGTATAGAAGTCAGAACGGAGTATCTGGATGTTAGGCCTGTGAGTATGCCACGTATATAGGCGACAGCCTGCTTTTCTAAATGAACAAAACAAACCCTTAGACCCCAACAACGAGTTATGAAAAAACAACCAACTGTCAGTGAGCGGAGTCTTGCATTCATTTTTTCTTTTGAGGGGACCAGGAACAAAGCCATCGGCATTCGAACGAGTAAAGGCAGTTATTCTCATACGAGATGTCTGGATCAACTTCAATAGGCATTAGAAGGGAGCGCGAATAAACTGACAAAGAAGAGAACTACCCCAATTTGAACTCACCCAGTTACGGATGCTATCAAACTTCAAGCTAGTCGACAGGAGGCATCATCCTGGCAAGAAGTGAGTCTTAGAAAGAAAGGTTTTCTTCGTTAACCAACCCATTGCATGGAAAGAGAAGCACGATTGGGAGAAGCCTTGCCAAAGGCCGGATCAGCTCTTTGACAAACAATGATGGACACTCTGCCGGGAGTGGTGCTTCATGAGTTCTTTCTTTGGCTCCACAACCATGAAGTCCATCATTTCCGGTTACCAATATCATTGATCTTATTGGCATAGAGCCTGTTGAACTAGCCTTCAGCTATGGCGACTAGAAGCCCCTCTAAGGGAAACGCACCTTATACCTCGCCTATTATACCTCCTATAGAAAATGAGTATTCACTTGTATCAAAAGTGCCTAGGGGAAACCTCCTATTCAACTCTAACTGAAACTTTGACTGGCTCACAAAAAAGCAACCATAAAGGGACGTCGTTGGCTTACTCGCTTTCTTATCAATTGTATGCCTTTGATATGATCTTTTTTTTATGCTTGATACGCAGATGAGTCATTCAATAAATAAAGATAAACTTTCTCTTCTATACTCGTTGACTCTTTAAAGTCTGGTTTGCGAGCTGCCCGAGAAGAGATGCCTAAAAGAAAGGGACAGGCCGGGAATGAATTGTATTGGAATCAATGAGGTTGGGCTGACTTTAGTATAGATTAGGGGAAGCAAAGCTTCAAACAAAGAGGTTGGGTTGTTCACTTCATTGATTTGACTTCACTTTACTTAAGATTAAAGATAGGAACTTCTGCGGGCTAGCCTAACAATCCGAATAATTTATATTTTTTTATTTCTTTTTTTCTATTTTTGCAATAGACCATTTTTTTTCTGTTTTTGTAATAATAGACCACTTTTTTTTCTTTTTTTTTTCTATTTTAGTTTTTTTACCAACCTAATAAGCCATTCATTTTTTTGTCTAGTTTTTGTATTAAACTATTTTTTTAGTTGTAACAAACCACTAATTTTATTTTTTTTTGTTATTGTTTTTGTAACAACTATTTTTTTCCATACACACGATAAGTCTACAAAAATATAAATAAGTTCACGACTAAATAAAGTTTCAAAGACAAAAAGTCCATACATATAATAAAACCACAATATGTGTGCGTGAAAGTTTATACATATAATAAGACCACAATATGTGTGTGTAACCCGCACGGGCTAGCCCAGCCCAATCATACCGAGTATTGGGCCAAAATAGGTTGAGGTAATTTTGAATCTTATTTTTAATCTCA